AATATCCTATGATTTCACTTGTATGTGAAATTTAAGAAAGAAAGTAGATGAACAAGGAAAAAAAATGAAACAAAACAAGATTTTTATTTACTTTATTATTATTATTTTTTTTAATGTTTATTTTTTTGACAGAGAGAGAGACAGAGCATGAGCGGGGGAGTGGCAGAGAGAGAGGGAGACACAGAATCTGAAACAGGCTCCAGGCCCTGAGCTGTCAGCACAGAGCCTGACGCAGGGCTCGAACTCACAGACCGCAAGATCACGACCTGAGCCGAAGTCAGATGCTCAACCGACTGAGCCACCCAGGTGCCCCAACAAGATTTTTAAATATAGAGAACAAACTGGTGGTTACCAGAGGGGAGGTGGGTCGGAGATGAGTGGAAAAGATGAAGGGGAATAAGAGTACACTTATCATGATGAGCACTGAATAACACGTAGAATTGTTGAATCAATATATTGTCCACCTGAAATTAATATAACACTGTATGTTAATTATACTGGAAACAAGAAAATCAAGAGAGGATATCTCCAATGTCTAAAATTGTGAAGGGATCAATGCATAATCCATACAAAGAAATAGCATTAATCAGAGCAAGAAATAAGACTCCAGTCTAAATGCCCAAATTATGAGCGGTCAGTAGAAGTGGGTACCCAAGTGGCTATCAGGCATGTGAAAAGTATACAAACACATTTTAGTTTAGAAATTAGTACCAAATACAACTGTCTTACAGAACACATAATAGAATATAAAGAGAATTCTAAGTCATCTGAAAAGTATACTAGAACTAACCTCAAGAATATAGATACAAATAACATTAAGACTATATTAACAAAGTTCAGCAATGTATAAAATGTACTATACACCATAACCAAGAGAGATGTATTCCAGTGATGCCAGGCTGCTTTAATATTAGCAAAACATTATGTTATCTAACATATTAAACAGGTCAAGGAAAAATTATCATATCAATTGGTACAAAAAATTCACTGGCATAAGTAAATGTAAAGTGCTGTGTACAGGTTCCCTCCCTTTACATGTATGTATGAATACACATATGAAGTGTAGACAGATGTAAGTGAACTATAGTCTATATGTCAACAATGCATAGAACACAAAAATTGAATGATGAAATTGTTACAGGTCAATTCTATAGCATCAAATAATAAAATTCTTAGGAATCAGAATAATATGTTTAAGTTACTTCATTACATTCATTAACAAAAATTTTTTTAATGTTTATTTATTTTGGGGAGAGGGAGAGACTGAGTGTGAGCAGGGGAGGGGCAGAGAGAGTGGGAGACACAGAATCCAAAGCAGGCACCAGGCTCTGAATTGTCAACACAGAGGCCGATGTGGGGCTGAACCCACAAACAGCGAGCTCATGACCTGAGCCCATGTTGGATCCTTAACCCTGACTGAGCTATTCAGGCGCCCCACATTACATTCATTTTTAAATATTTTTTTGAAAGCTACAAAGTTATTTGAATATTACTGAAAACTTGGTTGTTGAAACCTACAAAACTCTTCTGCTGAGAGAAATTAAAGGTGTCCTAAATAAATGGTATGACATTTTCCATAGAATTCATTGGCTTCACTTTTTCTCCCTAGAAGTGTACAGTACCCTGTTTGGTCTTCAGTATCAAGGGACGTTGTCCTGTTGGGACACTGAACCTGGTGGGTATGAGTCAGGAATTCAGTGTGAGCTTCCACTAAATACACAGATCCATGTGAGACCCAGTTTACCTGAGGGTGGTTGGGGACAGGAGATGAGCACCTGGAACCCTCTGAATCAAGGGTGCAGGTTAAGAAGATGTGGATGGTCAGGAGTCACTTTCTTTCCTCCAGTGGGAAGGGTCTGAAGTGCTGTTGGGAGAATGACCAGAGGATAGCATGTAATTCCCCAGGTAATAAATAGTTCCAATCACCATATGTTTTGTATACTAGTATTTCCCCACTTCAGAAATGAGGAAGTGGAGGCTTAGAGAGGTGAGGCCATGCTCAAGGAATCATAATCAATAATGGAGTTACTTAACTGCAAACCCAGGTTAGCTTTCCTCTAGAGCTGAGGCCCTGAAGTTAGATGCCATCTGGCAGATTCCATTGCCAATTGGAACCTAAACACTGTGTGATTGGTTGTAATTCAAGTTCAAAGTTTATGAATTTGAACAGAAGATACAGAAGAAATGTACTACAAAATTTGAAATGATGTCCACCCTAAGCTACAATTCAGTCCTGAGGAAAAACATTTTTTTAACTTTTTAAAAAAATTTTTTTAACGTTTTATTTATTTTTGAGACAGAGAGAGACAGAGCATGAACGGGGGAGGGACAGAGAGAGAGGGAGACACAGAATCGGAAGCAGGCTCCAGGCTCTGAGCCATCAGCCCAGAGCCCGACGCGGGGCTCGAACTCACGGACCGCGAGATCGTGACCTGAGCCGAAGTCGGACGCCCAATCGACTGAGCCACCCAGGCGCCCCTTAACTTTTTTTTTTTTAATGTTTATTTGTTTTTGAGAGAGACAGAGACAGGCCGTGAGTGGGGGAGGGGCAGAGAGAGAGGGAGACACAGAATCTGAAGCAGGCTCCAGGCCTTGAGCCTGTCAGCACAAAGCCCTATGTGGGGCACGAACTCATGAATTCACGAACCATGAAATCATGACCTGAGCCGAAGTCGGATGCTTAACCGACTGAGTCACCCAGGTGCCCCGAAAAATATTTTTTAAATTGTAAATCTTGAATCATCTTGCTTAGAAAAACATAACCTTAGTGCAACAGGCTACCCAAAACACGCAGAAACGTATAGCATTCTGTATGTTTGATTGTTTTTTCTTAGAATAGTTTTGAATGTCACAGGTTGTACACACTGTTCTGTCCTTTAAAAATTTTAATCATTTCTATTAAGGCTACTTGTTGGTCTGGGGTATGTGTATTTGAATTTTGATAGATATGGTCTTTAAGTCTGCAAGTGGGCAGCATGGACTCCTCTTCAGCCACTTGGATATATGAGAGCCCAGATTGGTGGTGATGAGGATTGTATCCAGCACTAAATGTGCACCTTGCACCACTTTAAGTGCTTTATACATAACTTCACCAATATATACAGACTGTTTTTTTCCTGCCATTTTAATGAATGGAGCATTATGTGTGAGAAGCATTTAAACAACTGCACAGAGGTCTACCAGGGAGGTTTTGTCTTCATTTTTCATTTCACATCCTGGAGGTGAAACTGTTCCCCTTGTGTCCTAAATTAGGAGGGGTGAGGCTGGGATTTACGAATCCTGAACCTCCAGAATAGCCAGGGCCAGTTCATTCATGCTTAGGACGTGGGACACCTGCTGTGGCTTGGGAGCAACTGGCAGACTTAGCACACAGTAGGCTCTCAATAAATGATTTCTTTGCCTTCCACCTCTGACCACCCTGGCTTCCTGTCCGAGCCCCGTGGGGTGGTAGTCACTACAATACCCAGAAGGCTCTGCATCGTGAGGTCGCAGCTCCCAGCCAATGATGGGCCAGGAGAGGAGGTCTTTTCCTGCCAGTGCTTCTGGTCACAGCAGAACTTCCAGAGTCATCCTCCTGGTGGCTAGTTTGTTTTTTTTTTAAGGGAGGTCTGTGTGTGTGTGTGTTTCTTAATGTTTATTTTCAAGAGAGAGAGATTGACAGAGCAAGAGTGGGGGAGGGGCAGAGAGAGAGGGAGACCCAGAATCCGGAGTGGTCTCCAGGCTCTGAGCTGTCAGCACAGCGCCCGACACGGGGCTCAAACTTACGAACCATGAAATCATGACCTGAGCTGAAGTCAGATGCTTAACTGACTGAGCCACCCAGGTGCCCCAGATTGTATTTTCTGTTTGTTACTTTACTAAGGCCTGTTTTGTTTGAAGTGGATTGTGAGAAGAAAGGTAGGGAGTTAGAGGTGACTCAAAATTGTGAACATGCTGCACTATGAACTGAACTGGGGAAGTCAGTCGTAAAACTAATGTTCAGAGGATTGGGTGGAGATAAGGAAGTTGTGACTACTGAGGATAAAGCATGTGTATAATTGATGAAATAATGCCTCCCAAAGATGTCCATGTTCTAATCCCTTGAACTTCTGGATATGTTACCTCACGTATCACAAGGGACTTCGTGTATATGATTGAATTAAGTATATTAAAATGGAGAGATTATCCATTGGGCCCAGTGTAATCACAGAAGAATAGAGTCAAAGAAGATTTGAGGAAACAAACAGAGGTCAGAGTGATAACATATGTTGGCTTTGAAGACAGAGGAAAGGGCAAGGAGTCAAGGATTGCATGAGCTCTTGAGAAACTGGGAAAGTTAAGGAAACAGATTCTTCTGTAGAACTGCCCAAAGGCACACAGTCCTGATTTTATCCTAGTGAGTGCTATTTTGGATTTATAGTCTCTAGAGTGGTAAGAAGATGAATTTGTGTTAAGCCACAATGTGGTAATGGTTTGTTACAGCAGCTATAGGAAACTAATACAACGTGCAGCAGAGAATTGGAAGAAGGCTGCAGGTACCTGAAATACGCATGGAGTTCTGGGTGCCTGAAATTGAAGGAAAGGTCCAGACTGAGAGGCCTTCAAAGCAGGAATGGGGGCTTTCCTTTGGCAATTGGGGCCACTTGAGGTTTGTTGCAAGATGGGATCCCGAATGTACTGCCAAGCATTCTCTCTGTGCTACTTGCAGGGCAACATGTGAGGAGTCTGGTGTGGGCAAGAAGAGTGGTGCTAGGTGACTGAAGGTGTGTGGGGGGGTGTGGTCTGAGAAGTGACGTGCACGAGAGGGGAGAGTGTCAACTGATGGTCCTGCAGCCCTGCTACTGGGGGCTTCCGTGAGAGCAGTGAGTCTAGGTTTATGTCTAGGAGGCATGATTTGGGGCACCCCAGAGGAACTGGCAGGCACATGGGGATGTGGCTGAGGCTGACATTGTTGTGGGTAGAGTGGGGATACTCAGTCAAGAGACTTTTCCTGGACCCTGCTGGCCATGTCATTGCAGGGCTGTGTGATCTCTGAGGACGTGTTTGTGTACTTCTCATGGGAAGAATGGATGCTCCTTGATGATTCTCAGAGACTTTTATATCAGGATGTGATGCTCGAGAACTTTGCACTTTTAGCCTCACTGGGTAAGGTCCGCACACCAATCCCATCTTCTTTCTCTTTTTCGCCACAGACTGCGGTGTCCTTCCCTGGTCAGATCACAGGCACTGCTTCCCTGCCAGGCTTCCTGGAGTAGGCACTGTGGGTGCCAGGTCTGAGCCGTATGGAGTGTTCTCGCCTCTTAGTGACCCCATCCCGAAGCCACACAGCTAAGGCTTTGGGAGTCACAGCACGTGGTTTGCCCCATGGATGCCTTTGTCTTGGGCATTTTCTGGGCTGGTGAATCTGTCCAGAACTATGGTACCTCTGTGCCTTAAGTTCCTCTCCCTTTTTCTAGGTGACATTTTCTGGGGCTTACTTATACCAGGAGTTTGCAGGACCTTTGTGCCTGCAAAACCTTCCTTCAAGGTTTTTGTTTTGGTGATAATTTTTTTTTTGAACTTGTGGAGCATCATGGGATGAGTTGCTCTGGCTGGTAGTGGCCGCTCACCTGTCTTGTGTCTCCCTCAGGAATTGCACCCTCCACATCACGCTTAGTCGCACAACCAAAGCAAAGGGAAGATCCCTGGGTGCCTGACCAGGTGGACGTGACCCCAGCCACAGAAAGAGAGGCTCCGAAGGGACCTGGACCTGGTGAGTGCATGTGGGGGAAGGCCATGATATCAAGGCGGGGTTCAAAACCAGCAGAATTAATTTTGCACACCAGTGCTTGGTTTCAAGGCTGGTGGCCACACAGTATTCCCATCCTTCCCCGTTCTTGACGTCGTCGCTTATTTCCCATCTGACTTGAAGCCCCTTGCCATCTCTCATTTGCCCTGCACCCGGTCTTCTCCACTGCTCAGTCCACGTTGTTCTGCAGCATTGACACTTAACGTGTAAGGAGATGGGCCCATACCCTTAAATAATCCTCGAGCACCAGCTATACACTTGTAAGTGGATCTTCCTGGGCCTGTGCGTGCCCTTCTGCCTAGCACTCCCCTGTCTCGGCAGCCAGATTCCTCCCGGAAGCCGTTTGCCGTACTCTGTGCACATATCTTTGTCTTCGGGGGGCTTCCGTCATTCTGTGACCTTCAGAGACCCAGTTCTGTGTTTTCGGCCCATTTCTTAACCTGTCCCAACCTCCCTTGTCCTATAAACGGTCCTGCTGATGTGTTCCTGTATGCGTCATACACTCATTTGTGATGGGGTTGCGCGTCCGCAGAGTCCAGCATGCGTGTCAGCAACGCTTCTCTGGTTTCAGGTTGTTGGTGTGCAGTGGAGGATAATGATACATCCTCTGTCTCCTCAGAAGGAGTGTCACGGGTCAGGACTCCTGAGGCAGGTGTGAAGACCCGCCCATGTGACAGCTCTGGCTCAGCGTTGAAAGAAATCCTATACCTGACTGAACGCCAGCAGGGAGAGGCCAGGCCGAAGCCGCCTACACGGGGGGCACGTTGGAAGCAATGGTGGCTCAGTGCCAGCCTCCATCAGCACCAGAAGCAGCCCACTGGAGAGAGGCCCTTCCGAAGAGGTGAGGGCAGGGCCTCCGTGAAAAGCTGCAGACCCTATGTGCCAGAGAAGACCTCCATGTGCACGGAGGGTAGGATGGACTTGCCAGCCCCCTCTGGCCTTCCTCAGCACCAAGTCCCCTGCATGCCTTTGAAGGCCTACAAGAGCACCGGGCTTGGCGGAGCCCTTCACACTGGACAGAGGCATCACAGATGCACTGAATGTGGGAAAGCGTTCACCCGCAAAGACACGCTTACGCGGCACCAGAGAATCCATACTGGAGAAAGGCCTTATGAGTGCAGCCAGTGTGGGAAACTCTTTAGCCAAAGCTGTGACCTTTTCAAACACGAGACCATACACACTGGAGAAAGGCCGTATGAGTGCCGTGAATGTGGGAAGTTTTTTAGACAAATCTCTGGCCTCATTGAACATAGGCGAGTTCACACTGGCGAAAGACTCTATCAGTGCAGCAATTGTGGAAAATTCTTCAGTAGTAAGTCTAACCTCATTAGACACCAAGAAGTTCACACAGGAGCAAGGCCTTATGTATGCAGCACATGCGGGAAAGAGTTCAGCCGCAAACACACGCTCCTTCTGCACCAGAGAACTCACACTGGAGAGAGACCTTACGAGTGCAGTGAGTGTGGGAAGGCCTTTAGCCAGAGCTCTCACCTTAACGTGCACTGGAGAATTCACAGCAGTGATTATGAGTGCAGCAGATGTGGGAAAGCCTTTAGCTGCATCTCTAAACTCGTTCAGCACCAGAAAGTTCACTCTGGAGAAAATCCTTATGAGTGCAGCAGGTGTGGGAAAGCCTTCACCCAGAGGCCAAATCTGATCCGGCACTGGAAAGTTCACAGTGGAGAGCGGCCTTATGTGTGCGGCAGATGTGGGAAAGAGTTTAACCGCAAACACACACTTGTTCTCCATCAGAAGATTCACACAGGAGAGAAGCCTTAATACTGCAGCAAATGTGGGAGATCCTTTAGTCAATGCCCCAACTTATAGTTCATTTGAGAATTCCCAGCAGGGATCGTGTGTGCATTGGACATAGGACAGCCTTCACCCAAAGACTAAACCGTTTTCAGCACGGGAAAGTCTACCCTGGACAAAGGCCTCAGCTGTACAGCGAATGTGCTGTCTCCTCATTCATCCTGACCGTTCTCCCCAGAGTGAAGCTCTGAGAGTAGGCTTTGTGAGGGAGCCATCATTCACAAGTCGTAGCTCACACTTGTGCACATCTACGCTGGGGAGATTCCTTGGGAGCGCCTGGTATGTGAGGTGCGTTCGGGAGCTGTGTTGCACATTGTAAACTGCTGAGTCCCTTTGCCAGTGGCAAAGCCACCCTACCGTTACCATCTGGCAAAGCTCCACCGTGTGTGTCTGTCACTTCAGCATGCTCAGGCAGGCGGACCTCTGTGCTGTCTCCACAGTCCCTTGCAGTCATGTTTGGCCTCCACGGACCATCAGGGGCCTCATTTCCTTCCTTTTGTCTGGGTTAGGTGTGGAAAGAGTTGGCTCACAAGATGGGTTTTCCAGGAAGCTTGCAAAGGTTTGTCTTCATGGACTTTTTGGTCTCGTGTCATGCTCTCTGTGGATGTCTACGGTCTCACGTCATCCAGCCCTGGAACTGCATGCCTCTCGTTGCTCATGTTTGTACAATAATAAAATGCTTATTCTTTCAGCCATTTTTAATCTGGAGGGTTCTGTTCATTGTGTACGGTGTGTTGAGGACATAGTTGTGTTCTACCAACATGAAAGGATCAAGTTTATGGGAGCCCCCAGTTTTCCATGTCTCAGAGAGGACAGTGTGATGGCAGAGAAGAGCTCTCATTCAGGTTTGGCCTAATTTGTGCTGCTGCCTGAGGTCTTCTGGGAAAGACTTACGGGCTTTGTGGGACCTGTCATGTGGCCCGGGTCCGTAAGTAACTGTGGAGAGGTAGTTGTGACAACCTCCAGTGCATCTGGAAGCAGAATGAGTTTGGTCCCTGGTTCCTGTGGAATGTCTCATGTCCCCAGGCACCATGAAGAGGAAACTGGCCTCTGGTACCTGACAAGGAGCCTGAGTCAGAATTCGGTAGGTAGATGTCACTGGCTGGAAGAGCTACAGGAGCCAGGCAGGAACTATAATGGATACGGGAACAAAGTGTAATTAATATGGGGTTAGAGAGATTGCAGCACGCTAGAAGGGATGCCCCGCAAGAGGTACCTGCTTGGATATTCCCCAACTATGGCTGAACAGAATGAGAAGGTGCAGACATTTTCAGGACCTCCGGAGCTGCCTCCTGTGGCCGAGACCACTTGCAGGCCAAATAATCTAAGTATTTTGTGGATTTTCTCAGACTCTGGATGGCTCAAGTCAGAGCTCTTGCTGTGCAGGCAGGAAAACGGGTTGAGAGAAGGGAGATCTGGGATTCCAGGGATGTGGCTTTTGTGACTTACCCAGTGTTCTTGGTGACTTATATAGAAACAGTTTTCATTGGTTGCCAATTGACACTGCCCCTGCGGCAGGACTGCTCCCAAGGTGTGAGAGGAGAGACGATGAAGTAAACAGGGTTGCCTATAGGATTTAATTTGTCTTTCCTATTTTCTTAAGATGGACCATGTCATTTATTTGAGAACTTCCTTCTAATATAGTCATTTTGTAAGTTTCCTTATAATGACTATGTTAGCAGCATTCCCCGCATTTTGATATATTGTGCGTTTGTTTCATCTAATACAGAATCAGTTTAAAATTGGCTGAAAAAGTTCCAGCTTTATTTTTAGGGACTTCTGAGTATCTGGCTTTGACACTTGGCTAAGATGAGGGCCATGCATTTATTATGTGTTGCTTAATACCCCAAATTTCCTGACCACACCTAGTCCCAGTTTGGGTTGGCATAATGGTCAGATAGTCTAGCTTGACTGTGTTACCAAAAATGCATAAAAACTCCGACTGGTATCTTCTGACTCTCTGTAAGCCAGGGCTCATTACTCTGGGAATGAACCACAAGAGTGTGTAAATAAGAATCTGGGAAACTACCTGGATGTTTGACCCCCAATATGCTTTTAAGAGAACCTTACGAGTGTGCTCTGTGGAGTCATGCAAATATTTTCAATTACAATGTGTGAAATGTTTGCAGTTGGTGATGAGGATGGGGTCTTTGATATGACCCTTGATTCCAGTTCAAATAATAATGACTAAGAGGGCAGTGCCTGGATGGATCAGTCGGTAGAACACGTGACTCTTGATCTCAGGGTCGCGAGTTCAGTCACCACATTGGATGTGGAGCGTACTTTTAAAATATGACTAAGGGGTTATTACACAGGAAGAAAGATGACAGAGGCTGATGAGAGGATTTTTATTAACAGGTTGGTTACTAGGCCATCCCTGAGTTGAGTATGCATAAGTGTTGTACTCAACCAGAAGAAAAGCAAGTGAGAACTGAACTCTATAGGTCCAGTGTAAATGGGTTGCAAATCAAATACAAACTAAGAGGATGTCAGCCAAGAATATGGTTCCTTTGCTGCCCCTCCCCCATTATTCTAGCAAAAGTAAATGGCATCAGAGAAACAGCTAGAGGCTCTTAAAGCTGTAGATTATAGCCTGTGGTTCAGTATACCATACCTTCTCTCTCCATCCCTCTGAGCCAGCTGGTGATTGACATCATGATAAAAGGGGAGATAAGGGGCACCTAAGTGCTCAGTCGGTTAAGCGTTTAAGCGTCCGACTCTTGGTTTCAGCTCAGGTCATGATCTCATAGTTCGCGAGTTCGAGCCCTGTGCCCAGCTCTACTCTGACAGTGCAGAGCCTGCTTGGGATTCTCTCTCTCCCTCTCTCTCTCTCTGCCCCTCCCTGTTTGCTCTCTCTGTCTCTCAAAAATGAATAAAATTTTTAAAAACTAAAAAAATAAGGTGTGGGAGACAATATGATGTGAGGCATGATATTCTACATCTCTTTATTCAACTCTCTTGAATGGGGCTTAATGCTGGGAGAAAGATAAGGATTATTCAGAAGAAAGGTAACAATTTAAATAAAAGAGTTGGAAGAAATCTGAGAAGAACTGAATCAGATAAAGATGTTCAGGTAGTTGATTAAAAGTGACACTAGGTGCCTGGGTGGCTCAGTTGGTTAAGTGTGCAACTCTTAGTTTCGGCTCAGGTCATGATCTCATGGTTTGTGAGGTCGAGCCCCACCTCGGGGTCTATGCTGACAGCATGAACCTGATTCTCTGTCTCCTCTCTGTGCCCTTCCCCTACCCACATATGCTGTCTCAAAATAAAAAAGATTATTTAAAAAATGCCATTAAAAAGGAGAGAGTAGATGGAATAGTTACTAAAATTTTGATGGAGCACTATAAGAAATTGATACTCTGTTCAAAGAACTGGGACAAATTATTTCAATTGATCCCAGTCATGATAAACTTTAAAATATTAAGATTATAGGGGCACCTGGGTGGCTCAGTTGGTTAAGCGTCCAACTTCAGCTCACGGTCATGATCTCACGGTTCACAAGTTTGAGTCCTGCATTGGGCTCTGTGCTGACGGCTCAGAGCCTGGAGCCTGCTTCAGATTCTGTGTCTCCCTCTCTCTCTGCCCCTCCCCCACTCACGTTCTGTCTGTCTCTCTTTCTGTCAAAAGTAAGTAAAACATTTTTAAAAATTTAAATATTAATATTATAAAAAAAAAAGAGGCCTCTATAATCTTTTGAGAACCTGTTCTGATGCTAACCAGGCAAGGAAATGCAGAGGATTATGATTGAATGATGGGCAGGCCTGGGTGTCATGATCTTTTAGCAGGGACCCCAAGTCTACTTTCATTAGTATTGGTAACATGACCTGAAGACAGTACAAATTTATAATTGCTAGGCTTGTTGATATATGTATTGTTGTAACTTAAAAGTCAAATGAAAACTGAGAGGGCAATATGTGATGATTGAATGTGATGATACTATAGAAGGCTTGCAGGTGAAAGCATAGTCCACAAAGGAATTTCTGGATAGAAACCATGTATGGTTGTTGCCTCCTCCTGGCCATAGTGCATTATTGGAATGGATATGGTGTCATATTAATCTACTTAGTCCTTTTTTTAAAAGTAAGCTCTATGCCCAATGTCGGGCTTGAACTGAGGACCCCAAGATCAAGAGTTGCATGCTCTACCAGCTGAGCCAGCCAGGTGCCCCAAGGATCTTTTATTTTATTTTTTTGTTTTGTTTATTTATTTTGAGAGAGAGAGAGAGGGAGAGAGAGAGAGAGAGAGAGAGAGAGAGAGAAAGCATGTGAGCGAGCGAGTGAAGGGCAGAAAGAGAGGGAGAGAGAGAGAGAATCCCAAGCAGGTATCGTATTGTCAGCACAGAGCTCAGTACGGTGCTCTGTTCCACGACCCTAGGATCATGACCTGAGCCAAAATCAAGAGTCAGATGCTTAACGGACTGAGCCACCCAGGCGCCCCAAGGATCTTTTAGGTGCAGCTGTGTTAGCATTTGCAAATTCCCATTTAACGGTTTCATAGTGTGTGAGGAAAGCTGATGGATCTGAGAGGTTAACTATAGATTTTGGAGGGCTTGATAAGTTGTAACCCAAACCCTCACCCTAAATTGTCAGCTGTATTTGATATGGTATCAACAGTTAAAGCTCAGGGGCATCATTATTTCGTTTTGGATTTGGCTAATGCCTTCTTTTCCATTGGGAAGCCAAAGCATTCATTGGGGTAGACCCCAGTATTCAGATACTGTTCCCTCACAAGAACATTTTCAATAATCTGGCTGAAACTTGGCCCTTGATTTAAACTTCATTCTATGACAATATTTAGTATATGGGCAAAGGCCACTTTTGGAGGGTTAGGCCAAGAAAATACTATTTTAAATCCGACTTATTTTGTAATGATCTTGTCTAATTCATAATGTAATTGTTATTTGGTGTGATGCTGGTATAACTGGTATGATCAATTTAATGGGTTCTAACAAAACCTGTGGTAATACT